AAGTAAAGGTTACTTGGGCATCATTAATGATAGTACCAAACAAAAGACATGCCAACTGATCCAACAACCATACACCAATCCATCAAACACTGTACCGTACAACATATACTAAAAAAATTTATAGGATTAACAAACATAATATAATGGGGGAAAACAAAATTAAAAATGGTGGATATTACCTGTATAGGCATTACAACAGTAGGGTTTGCACAAGGAAATAAAGGAGTAGGGAGTCAAAGGTATATATTTCATTTTTTTTTTTTTTAATTTTTTAGCCAAAATTCAAATTTTTTTTTTTTATTATATTATACATGTTTTTTAATAAAATTTAGGGGAGGGTCCTGTCACGGTCGCCATGTGTAAGGTTTCAGCCAAAACAGAGGGCCTACTAATTACCCACTGCCCAGAGGGAATACTGGACAGTGACCTAGTAGCCGCGCCAAACAAGATAGTACTTGCTGACGGAGCTACTAGGTTTTGATAAAAACAAAAAAAAAACAAATATTAATAAAAATGAGGGAAAAGTATAGAGAGAAAAATAAAAGAGGCCATGTATAATATAATAACATTTTTTTATAATTAATGATTAAATTTTATAATTATTATTTTAAATATATATATTTTCATATGAAAGGAGAAGAAGAAAAAAAAGGAGGTGCTTGATACACAAATTAAAAAGGGGGTTTTATTGATGTTGTACTTGATCTTGAGGAGTGCCGGCCCACCACCGGCCATAGTTGTGTCTTACGCCATCGTGGACATCTCGACGTTTTATTTTATACAAAAAAAATACAATAAACGGCCTGATTGACTCCAAAGTAGACGGCAGGTCGACTCAACGTTTTATTTTATAAAAAAAAAAAACGGAGGACAAAAAAAAATACAAAAAACAAAAACGTGGTTTTCACAAAAAAACAGACAACTTGTCGCCTCGGTAGTTTGGATGAGAAAAAAAAAATCTGTTGTAGCGGCATTTGTGTAGTGGCCTGTGATCATGATGTCGCCGAGTGGTGGAGGTGCCAACTTTGAACTGGTTCATAGGGAGAATACAAGAGTATAGGGATGCACTGTGTGCGGTCAACTGTCACAACAAACCGGGTACTGACCATTGGATCGGTTAACTGGTATATAAGCTAATTTTATAATTGGGGACATACATAATACCTAACGCACACACCATTAACTGATAAGATTTATTAAAAACTGATATAAATTCTGCAACATTACAAGTAAAAAAAAACATGGTAATCTTATGCCATCTTATTGATTGTTACTTCTGTGTTTTACTCCTCTTGTTGTTCTTATGGCAATGATTTTCTTTTATTCAATTTCATGGAAATTAAATTAAAATTACTAATTGTTTTTATAACCACAGTAATATTTTTTGTTATATCAACTATTGCAATTTCACAATTTTCTGTACTAATATTAACTATATATTTCTTGTCTAAACTCTATAACACCTTAGTGATTAACTAATTATGATAAAATATTTTTATTGTATTTTTTTGATATATATTGTACAACAATAAATCAAACTGAGTTACAGTAAATAAATTGCTGACATTGCTAACATCATTATTTTTATTTAAAATTATCTATTGTTACTAATTTATATTAATTATAATCAAATTGTATGAATGGATTGTTTACTAATTATCATTTAATATAAAATAAACCTAAAATTCGAAGGTTAACTATTTTATTTTATATTTACGTATAATATATTTTATTTTATTTTATTTTATACATTGTGTATATAGTAATACAATTTATTATTTTAAAATTATAAAATGTTTAAATATATACAAAACCTATAAATTTAATTTTAAATACCGTAATTTCTAATGAACTAATGAACGATTATTGAACTGTTATCGAACGTTTCATAGTTGAACCGAGGAACGGTCTTTGAACTCTTACTGAACTTTTGTAGAACTCGGTTCATCCCATGTTAAAGTCCGTATTCAAATCTCATTTTGAACCGTGCTGTGAACGGATTTTGAACTGAGTTCAGCACCGTTGTTACTATATTAAATGAACCCGGTATGAACTCGAATTGCTACTCGGGGATACTTTGACATAAGTGTGACTATATACGGTATATAACGTCTACTATAACCAGGGGCGGACTGACCCGGTCGGCTGGTCGCTGATTGCCGACTGGCCCCTCATCTGTATTATGTTTGGCCCCTATACTTTGATTTCCATTTCAAGTTGGAAAGTCGATTGCATTTATTTTTAGAAAGTCATTATAGGTTTTAGGTGTTCTCAGAAGTAAAAACCCAATGTAATGCGTTATCTTGATATCAATATCGTTATAACTTATAACTTATAGCCGACAAATTACAATAAGTAGTACAATGAAATAACAACGGTTTCAGGTAATACATCGTGCTGGCATGTTTCTTTTCTTTAGTTTGTATTTTTGTTTCGTGGGGAAATCGTAGATGAGCTAATCGTTTTCGTTTAATCTGTGTACTAATAAACTATTGCCATAAAACTGATATTATAGTGTTATTACCCATCTAATAGATAGTATCTATTGCATTTCAAAAGAACACATGAACATAATCGACCACGATAAACCGAGTGTGGCACACCGTTAATCGACACTCCGCAGCCCGCACTAAATTTTGTATGATTTGACGATTCATTGCAACGTTCTATTAAGTTAAGGTATAAAAACAATAAAATGAATTATTTCCTATTTATTAATAATTATAAATTATGGCTCTATTTGACTTTTGAAATGATTATAAATTATTAATTAAAAATTAATTAGGTAGGTGTTTTTACGGTACGCGGTGCAATTACTCAACGGCCGCCGTCCATTATGTTATTCCGTACCTACCAACATTTTAATATTGTCTGACCGTCTTTTGAAAATTGACTTTGACGCGTTCTTTCCTTTTCGCTTTAAAGATAAATTTACCATCTAGCCATCTAGATATTAATTATAGATACTTAGTTTAGTTGTAAATGTAATATCTAAATGTTTTCTAACATATAGTTTTATATTAAGGGGCCTGGAATTTGGAAGCGTTAAACTTGCAATTATCGAATAATTTATTAAATTATTTTAAAATGCTTTTTTTGACTTCTTAAAGAAAAAATTCAAAATTTGGCTTCGTAAGAAACCTAGAAAAAAGAAAACTAATTCATAGACACATTCAGAATTAAAATTTTTTTATATCTGTTTAAATTTGAAAAAAATTAATAAAATTATTTTTTAAGCACGTAAACAAAATGTACGATAAGTATTTTTTTTTTAATTTAGTATGGAAGAACGTAAACGTAGCATTAGTAAAAGACCTATACCAAAACGTAAATCTAGTGGAGCACGCAAAAAAGAAGCAAACCAACAAAAACTACATAGTATTGCACTAGACAAAAAACAGTTAAAACTTAATTTTGGACAAAATCTAAGTGAATTAAAATCTCAACTTGTTTCAACTCACCAAAATGACGACGATGATTTAAAACATCATGGATCTATAAATACAAACAAACAGATATCACAATTTTCATCATTATTAGTCCCTGTAACTAGCAATAATTCTACACCCAAGGAAAATGTAATAGTTACTGAGACTGAAGTTTCATTTATTTCAACTCATGGTTCTGAAAGTTCTGTAGATTTAAGAACTCAGAAAATTACCAATAAAAACATTGAAATTGAGGAGTTTATTGACGAAGACATAAAAATTAAAAAATTTACAAACAATACAAATGAACCAACAACAAATGAAGACTTACAAGAGTTAGATTTATCATCCCAGTTATTGTCTACTTCATCTTTTAACTTTAAAGCTTTAAAACATGATTCAAATTTAGCTGAAAAGTTGACGTTTCTATTGAAACATCCTATTCAACCCCAATATGCAGAGTTGCCTTTTAATCCATATAAAATGTATTACCGCCAGTTGTCTGATACTGATAAAACACGAGTGCCAAGATAGTGGTTATCATTTAATAAAGAAGAAGAAAATGTGTATTGTTCAGTTTGCATGGCTTTTTCATATATTAAGGATTCATTATTTGTACAAGGTATAAAAACATTAACTAAGCACATTTACAAGGAAGTTCAAGTGCATGAAAACTCTAAAGTACACAATGAAGCCATGTACGCATATATGCAGGCAAAAAAATCTAATGATATATCAGCACTTATAAACGTAAACCAACGAAACACTTTTTTAGTACAAGTTTCAGAACGAAGGCTTTTCTTTGCTTGAAGTGCTTGAGGATATATCTATGTTTACAGTTGAGTTCTGACGTTTCGGACTCATTGCAGAGTCCATCTATATAGTTATAGTATAGTTGCAGCCACCGACTAGCAACCATCACTCTGAAGATGGACTCTGCAATGAGTCCGAAACGTCAGAACTCAACTGTAAACATGGATATATCCTCAAGCACTTCAAGCAACAAGACAATCCATGAAAGTTTTAACACATTCATAAGAAGGCTTTTCTTATCAAAAATAATTGAAGGTATTCTTTATATTGGCAGACAAAATATTGCTTATAGATCACATAAAGGAGAACAAGCCTATTCATTAGACGATAGAAGTATAAATCATGGGAATTTTCTCGAATTATTAATAACTTGGTCAAAATTTGATCCGCTTCTTGAAAAACAATTAGAATATGTTATAAAAAAAAGTAAAAATCATAATTTAGTGACACCCGATAGAGGACGAGGTTCGCTTGTAACATTTATTTCTAAGACTATGATTAATAAAATTATAACTTTAATATCTAATTTTATTCAACTTGAAATAAAAAAGAAGCCCAAGAAGTTAAGTGTTTTAGTCATCTAGTAGATTCATCGCAAGAATTTAGTGTAACAGACCAATTAGCCATTTGCATTCATTATGTAGTTAAATGTGAAATTAAAGAACGCTTGATTAAATTTTTACCTGTAGATTCTTCAAAAGCAGTCTATTTATATACTACTTGGAAACTTGGAAAACAGTAGCGCAAAAATATAAAGATATGTGGCATTTTCCAAATTGTATTGGTGCAATAGATGAGAAACATATTAACATTGAATGTCCTATTAATTCTGGATCAACGTTTTTTAATTATAAAGGAAGCCATTCAGTTGTATTATTAGCATTAGTTGATGCCGACTACAAATTTATTGCGGTTGATGTGGGTTCATATGGCCGAAATTCTGATGGTGGAATTTTTTCTAAGTCAACAATTGGCAAGAGATTAAGCAGTAACACGTTTAATGTACCGAAACCAATTCCTATAACTGAAAACATATACCATATGTACTTGTTGGTGATGAGGCATTCCCACTAACAACGTATTTACTTCGCCCATATAGTCGAAATTATTTAAGAGATAATGAGCCTAATAAGATTTTCAATTATAGATTATCTCGGGCAAGACGTGTAGTCGAGAATGCATTCGGAATACTAGCTGCACGATGGAGATGTTTTAGAAAAAACTTAGAGGTACAACCGGAATTTGTTGACAAAATTGTGTTATCATCATGCTGTTTGCATAATATGCTGTGCGGAGACAATGCTTTTGAACCAGAAGATACATCAACACAAAATACCGAATCAGCTCTCACAAATTTAGATTTTTTGAGAAGAAATTGTACTCGTGACGCGTTTAATATTAGAGAAAAATTCAAAGAGTATTTCATTTCTGAAGTTGGTCGTGTCCCATGGCAACTTGATAGAGTTCGTAAAGGAAGAAACACATAATTTTATTTCGTATTACAATTACATTATTAAGATTAAAAAAATGTATTATATTTTTCATGCAATCTTTTATAGCATTTGTAAGATAATTCGTTTTTTATTAAACATAACAATTTATTATTTAATATACTTTTATTATTAAATAATTACACTTGTGTTTCGTAAAACGAACGATAATAACGCATTGTTATTATTAGGAATGTCTATTTGGGTACAACCCGATTGCAAACGTTTTAATTTTAACACAACGCTTATCAGAGAATTTGTAGCCGAAAAACGAACGATTGCGAACGTTTTTATAGACTACATTGCCAAGTTTGTAATTTCTGAATATGTTTTGTTCGGGAATTAAATTAAAATATATTTTTTTTAATATAAACTATTGGTGTCATAAATATAAATTTATTTATATTTTTACGCGCGTTAACACAAATACTCAAACTGGCACAACAAGGTTTGACGAGTCAGCAAGTTAAAATATATTATAATATAAATGACAAAAATTTTACAAATTTGCCATTACCTGAAATATTCAACTCATTGCCAACTTCTTCCCACGCTGTCTGTCTTATATTTTGATCACGGTAATCTCGCGATCCGTGGTCATATAAAACCATGTGTTGGCGCACTACTTCAATTAATTTTTCATCCATTTTTTTTTAATAAAATATTTACCTCGGAGGTTAAAAAATTAAGGTTTAAAATTTAGACTTTGGGAAATGTGACGTGACGTATAGCGAAATATGCGGATGTACAGAACACAAACACGTGTTATCACGCAAAACTTTGGTGACGGGATGCGACAAGTGTGACGTGATAGCAGTGTGGTTCTGGCAAATTAAAGTACATGTATAATAATACTCCGCACTTTTTTCTTGACACGTGAGCTCACGTAATAACACGTGACTTCACATGACGTGATAATAATGTGTTTCTACCTTTATGGTCTTAAGCTTAATTCCTTATTATTATTTTTTTGAGTTACTTTTTATATCGGGGTCAGTGTTCCGAGGGTTTTCTTTTTTTTTTAATAATACAATTCCAAAGAAAAAGGAATATTACTATTCATATGTATATGTCAATTTTAATTTACTAAAAATCAAGAGCAATCGCCAACCGTAAAATAACAGCTCAAACGAAATCTGCTGTATATAGATTCAGTTTTACCAAAAGTACTTATTTACTTTATTATTTATTTAAAATTTTATGTTCAGCATTTTTGCTTACCTTTGAATAAGTATTTTTTTTTATTTTTTAAAATGTGTCTTTTCACACTGATGATGTTGATGAACTAACTGACATTCAGAGATTCTAAGTGCAAGTGAGATTTTTATGCCACGTTAATCCGTCTTTTATACTTTTTTTTTTAATTCAATTAGGGATTAACATCATTAGTGTTTCCAGATATTTTTATTGACATATAATTTAATTGTGATTAAAGTTTACAATATTTTCTTTAAATACACAATAATATGATTAATAAGATGATTACATAATTTTTGTCACGTCAATACTATTATTACAATATCTACCCTAATTTTTTTTTAAATGTTGTGATCTCACAACATAAAATCATATTAAAAATGTATGTAATATTTATAAAAATTCATAATTTAATATTGATAACAATTAATTGTACAGTATAATATAATAATAATGTATATATAAGTTATGTTTGTGGAAAGAAAAAAATAAATAAATAAAAATGGTTTTTAATCTCTTATCTAAACTTAAGCTTGTTCATAAGGCGAACTACTTCCGTGTTCATCAATGGCTTTGATTGCAAAATAATACATACAGTTAGATTCATACATTAGAAGATCTATGCCCATAAGTAATTGTTCTGCTCGTAGTTGTGCTAATTTCTTCCACATTTTTTCTGTTTCCATTTGATTAATCTGTTTACATATGTACAGTTCATAGTATTTTATTTTTTTAGATGATGAGTTTGTACGTGATTTCAATATTATTGTTACATTTTTCCCATTCGCTCGTATTTTTATTTTTGATATTGTTGGAATTTTGAATGTTGATAATGAGTGAGATGAAATTAAGTGGATAACTTAATTAAATTTTTCTTAAACTCATTTTTATTTATTTATTTGTTTAATTTATTCTTTGAGAGAAAAAAAAAGTCTCACTGAAAAATGAGTACATTTTAATTTTGCATATTAGTTAAATTTATTGAATAGATTATTTTTCTTAACTTATGTTATAATTATTGTTCTGTATAATATAATATGTGATATTGCATAAATAATAATTTATAATATTTTTAATGTAGGGGAGAGTGTTGTACCTTGGACCGCTTGTACCTTGGACTAATGTAAATATTTTATAAAATATTGGGAGAAAACAAAATCTCATGGATGAAATTTACGTCATTAGTTCTACTACAATAAATAATTTAGATAATGATAAGAAAAATGCGCGTATTTTTTTGATAAGCAGCAAACCATTTCTTTAAAAAAAAAAAAACAATTTTTAAAATTTAAAACATGATTTGTTATGTTCTAATTTTTTAACTCAAATTGATAAGGTAAGTGTTAACCTATGTTAAATATTGTATTTAATTGAATGGTGTGGTCCTTTGTTACGATATAAATGTACAAAATGCCCAAAAGAACAATTATTTAAAATTGAAACTTGAATGTACCTTGGACCAAAAAAAAAAATTGTACCTTGCACCATCCATTAATTGTTCATAAATTAATATTTCATTACGAATTATTATTTAATTGCTTGTAGATTAGTACAATTAAAATGCCTAGAAGCAAACGAGGTATTAAAAGAGTATTACCCAATCAAACTCATTTAGAGAGTGCTGTTAATGATGTTCAAGCAAAGAATCTAACACTATCAGAAGCTGTGAGTATTTATAATGTATCTAAAACCACATTGTTACGGCACATTAAATTGTTCAAGAGTTTGAATACAGATAATTATAAGTACACATCCAAAATTAATCATCGTCAAGTATTCACAGTAGATGAAGAAAAAAAATTAGTTGAATACTTAAAAATGTCTGCGAGGTTACAGTACGGTCTTACCAAAACTGATACTAGAAAATTAGCATATCAGTTTGCAGTTAGTAATGGTAAACATGTGAAAGAATGGGATAAATCTGAAGAAGCTGGCAAGGAATGGATGAGAGGTTTTTTTAGCCGCAATAATACACTATCCCTCAGGAAACCTGAGCCTACTAGTATGTCACGAGCCACCAGCTTTAATAAATTTAATGTTTCTGCTTTTTTCAACAATCTTATTAATTGTTTATCCCGAAGTCATTTTACTCCTGATCGTATTTATAATTTGGATGAAACAGGGAATTCTACAGTCCATGTACCTCCAAAAATCATTGCCACTAAGGGGAGTAAACAAGTTGGCTGTATGACCTCAGGTGAACGGGGCATAAATGTTACCATGATTTGTGCTATAAATGCTGCTGGGAACCATGTTCCACCCATGATTATATTTCCAAGGAAAAAATGTACAGATCCTATGTTGTTACATGTACCACCGGGTACAATTTGAGGTGCAAATCCATCTGGATGGTCAAATGATTTAATATTTGTACAGTACTTGCATCATTTTATTAAACATACAAAGCCATCTGTTGAAAATAAAATCTTATTAATAATGGACAATCATGAATCTCACATAACAGTAGGAGCTATTAAGTTGGCTAGAGAAAACCATATCATTTTTTTAACACTTCCACCTCATACGTCCCACAAACTCCAGCCTCTTGACCGAACAGTATTTGGCCCTTATAAAACTTTCTATAATCAGGCTGTAAAGGAGTGGATGGTGGAAAATAAGCGTCCGATCACTATATATAATATAGGTGAATGTATAACAAAAGCATATGGCCGAGCATTTTCTGTTCATAATATAACAAAAGGATTTCAAGTGACAGGAATTTTTCCTTTGAATGAAGGGATATTTGGCGATGATGAATTTCTACCATCCTATGTGACTGATCGCCCAATCTACAACAATAATATAACTGATGACACTACTCAAGATGCAATTCAAACAGAACCACGATCTGGCCCATCTAATAGTTTGATGACAATTGAAACTGAATCAAAAACTGGCTTGTCTAATGAATCTGATGAAACACATCCACTGCCTACCCTAATTACTTCAAGACATAATCTAGGCATAGTAAAATCAATTGTTAGTCCAGAAGACATACGACCATTTCCCAAAGCACCTGAAAGGAAACTGAATGTGACTCAGAAAGGTAGAAAAAAGGGTAGAACCCGTATTCTAACAGACACTCCAGAAAAAAATGAAGTAGAATTAAATAAAAAACAAAAAACACTGACAAAGCCAAAAATTAAATTAGTTAAAAAAAAATCTATTAGAAAAAAATTAAAGTTTGTGACCATTGATGAAAGCAGTGAAGAAGATTGTGAAAATTAATGAAATTACCAAATAATTATAATAACAAGAAGACTGTTTCTATAAGTTTATTTGTAAGACTGAAAGATTTAAATTATTACCTATTAAGTTTTAAGAAGACTGTTTTTTAAGACTAAAAATTGTTATTATATTGTCATTGTTATTAATATTGTTATTGTCTAGAAAAGTACCTAATTTTATTTTGTTTTCATTTTATTATAAAAAAAATAAAGACTTAAGAGTTAATGTGAAACTGAAGTTTATTTATTTTGTCTTAGTACCTAGATTCTGATTTAGGTACCTTGCAATTGCAGCCCTTCCATAAATACCACCTTTGTGAAGCTCCCGTCGTACAGGTTTTGTCGAAACAGTATTACCTAAGTGAGCGTTAAGTTCTGCTGTAACTTTAGCCGCAGTAGTTTTATGTTTTCTTGTCACAATCCGTTTTAATGTTCGTTGGTCCCTGTCAGTCAACTTTGGATTTCGCCCACTATTCCTTTTCGCCGATGATGTATTATACACTAATATGTTATAAATACATTTGTACATAATATAAAACTATTTTTGAAACGAAGTATGCATATTTCAATGCAAATCAAGGTACAATACCCCAAATACCAAGGTACAATACCCCAAATACCAAGGTACAATATATGTTGTACCTTGGCCAATTTTTTATGTTTTTAAAAAACAAATTTTAATTTAAAAAATAATTGATATTTTGGCTTTAAAAAAAATTACCATATACTTATGTGTATTGTCTAAATGAATATTAAAAATTTAATATTCAAAATTGAAGGTACTAGAATTTTTTTTATAAAAATGGTGCCAAGGTACAACACTCTCCCCTATAATATGATAGATTATAATATATATATATATACTATAATATGTTAGGTTATATAATAGTTATATTACTCATTTTGTTTTTTTATAATGTGTTTCACTATATTCACTATATTCTTTTTGTGAATATATTTTCGATTTTTGATTTTTTTTGGAAATAGATAAATAGTACTTCCATATCGCCATATATAAAACTTGTTGGAATCATATGTTTTGTCTGAGTCATACTGCGTTATTATCGGTTTATTGAAATACCATGGATATTTGTATTTGTATATTGGTATATTTAATTCATCATCTGACATTTTTAATTATTGGTGAGCTGTAAATCTGGGTAAATAAAAGATTTAACTTTTACTGGTGTATCATTTTTATCTGATAAATTAATTTTTGTTAAGTCTAATTTTGATTTTTGTTTTTGTTGATGATGTTTATGTATGAAATAATGAGTAATATTATTAAACATACCTACCATTAATCTTGCACTCCAACCAAAAACAATTCCTAATAAACCTGACATAAATGAACCAAAGTAGGTGAACCACCCCCACATCTGATATAATTTATTTTCTATCATATTACTTAATACGTTTGGATCTATTAGATGGTGTAGGTTTAACTGTTGTCCACTCATTTCATATCCTAATGTTTGACGAATTATGTTATTTTGAATTGCATTTATTTCCTGAGGGAACATTAAATGTCTTTGTAATGCTTGCATGGTATCCTTATTATATATACCAGCAGACATAAGATGCTCAGGTGATTTGTAAGTGCAGATGAATTTGATTTCTGGCCTTAAATTTTGCGGACTTTCAATGTCGATTAGGTGAGGAGTTAATCCAAACCAATCCCCATCTAAAAAATAAGCTGAAGGTAAGAGATTATTACATGCTATTTCAGTACCAAATTTTTGCAATATATGAGATTTTGTGTCCTAAAGTATGAAACATTGTGAAAGATTACGGGTAATTCATAAAAACAAGTTTCTTTTTTTGCTAATTCTACTTGTACTGGTTTACAATTCATGAGATATAATATATATATATATATATATAATATATATGAAAGTAATGGATATTATAATGTTTTGTATTGCCATCCATCCATTACTTTCGCACATAGCATAAGCGAATTCAGAAATACTAAAGAAGCCAAAGATAATTTTTAAATTAAAATTTTTCTTTCAAGCATGCATTGTTTTAAAGTGATATCTATGTATAATTCAAACAATGTTCTAGAAATGTGATGTTCGACCCATACAAATTTGGTATTTACATAAGCAAGTAAATCTATATTATAAGTGGATATTGGTTTTTTTTTTTAATTTAATAGCTCGCCACCAATCACCTGCCCTGTCGTTCAAAAACGGGACGACGATGTTCACCCACGCAGTTGGGTGTATACCGCCCTGACAGAGTAGATCCTCAGACTCGTCGTCTGATGTGTGTAGCGCGAGGTTCACCGGATGTTCCTCCGGTAAAGGTGCTACGCCGGGCCGCTGATAGTTCGCGTCGAGTTCGCGGGCACGGTCCGTGGAGTTGTCTAAAACCCCCACTTCGGGTTCGCGGACCGGAATTTCGCTATCGAGCGGTGTACGGGGTGGTAAAATTACAGTATCTGGGTCCCTCCCTTCGCTACGTATGTTTTCTTCTAGCATAACTAGCATGTTGGATTTCGTCGCGTAGCATGGTAGCTGTCTAAAAGCGCATTTATGACATAATTCAGCGCAATTCATTTGTGCTAATAATTTCCCCGACATATTGACCGTGAATATTTTGTTTATTTACAATACTAATAATCAAATGTATGTTACTATAATAGCGGAGATAAACAATATCTCCGTGTACGGTCAAAATTTACTATTGCTGTAGAAAAACAAGTGTTATTATTATTGCTATTGTTGTGATAATGACCGCGATAAAATGGTCCGGGGCCGCCGTATATGATATGGCAGAGAGTGAACAATAATAATAACGGTTACCTGGGAATCGGCCGCTTTGACAAGGTCAGACGAAAATATATGATTTTTATCTACCAAAAGACTGTAACTATCGGCCGGAAATTTACTTCTTGTCGATATCAATAAGATTTTTATAATAAACTGTAACCAACAGTTTTAAACGACAATACTTACGGCGGATTCTATTAGATAAACTGCTCTAACTTTATTTTTATCAAAGAAAATTTTCCCAGAGTCCAGGCTAAATCTAATCTCGCTAACACGTAACTTTGAATAACCCAGGTAAAAATTCACTGCTGTCACCAATGAAATTCGTTCAAATAACTACATGAACTAACAAATTTGTAAGGGAGACTTCACCGTTTCAAGTTAAAACTAAAATCTAATATAATTAGAAATAAAACTTAATCGGCTTAAAGCCTCTTACCTTAACTTTCCTCGTCCGGTTGGATTCCTTTCTCGGGGAGCCAGTTAACGCGTAATCCAATATACGTCTGGGCGATTACACAACACGTTTCCGATAAGTAGTATTAGTATGCGTTAAAAAAAAAAATATATTTAGTTCACTTTAGCGTTACTAATATTTCATCAACTCTGATGATTGACGCGTAACAACAGTACACGTTCAGCCGTGCATACAAAATGCACCCGACAAGTAATATTAGTATGCTTTTAACAAAAAAGATATATTTAACTCCCTTCAGCGTTTCCAATATTTCACCGCAAGGAGGCTTTCCGCGTAACCGTCGATGAAAAATGTTATACAAAACGAAACCAACCAAAGGCGAAAATAAACAACCAAGAAAACAAAAGCAGAAAGAACGGAATCGTGTCATCAGTTAGGTGTACGTTGAAAACGGAACAGACCGCAATATCAGTCATCCATATTCGGCGGCGGCCTTATCTCGGTGTCAAGGGCGGGGAGACAACCGATGACAACCGATTGTCATATTAATAGCTGGACGGCTGATATCGAGAGAGACACGGGTGAGCGCCAACCTAGAGCAAAAGGCGGTACCGTGTCACAGCGTATAAAACTAAGATATTTTTTAAATCCCAACAATATTTCAATTATTCCAGTATTTGTTTTATTTATCGGTTTCATGATACGGCTTTAATCATTTCATTTACATTGTGTCTGTAATTCTAGCAAGTAATTTTAGGTATTTATTTTATTATTATGTTGTAAATAACTAAGTAGTTCAGTAGTGAGACAAATAAACTCTGTTCTATTTTTTTTTCGTACATAAAACTAAAAAAAAATATTAAAAATTGGAGTTTAATTAGAATATATCACTTTTTAAATTATTTATTTTATGCGTAATTAGTAATTATAATAATTAAAGGAATACACAACACATGTAAAATTTTAAATTAATTTTTATGCGTCATACAATTAAAATAACACCGGCTCTGTAAAATCGTATAGGTTAAATGAATATTGTATATCAATGAATAATTAATCGAAAGCCGTTTATTTAGCTTTGGCACTGGAAACTTTATAACCATAGTTTTTTTTTATACTTGGCATGGGAAATTTTTAGCATACTAATTATGTATAAGTGAAAAATATTAAAATTTAAATCAAACGATAATTATTTTAAAATATTTTTAAAGTTAAATAATAACTCGCAATTATTCGGAAGTGAAATAAATTATTTGATATCTGTCTCTATGGCATGGTTTAATTATACCATTGAATTTCATATTTTTCGTTTATTCAAATACTTCTTTTCTATATAGGAAACACCATTATCGTATAAAACCAAAGGATTTTATTCTTCAAAGGATTTATACTTCAAAATCAGTTTTTAATATTAAATTATTTATATTATCTTTCACTACTCTTTTATTCACNAATTGATGCTTAAACTATTGTAACTTTCAATATTTTTTATTTATTTATTCGTATCTTCTGTTTTGACTATTTTGTTTTGATATGAATAAATTCAATTTTATGTTTAAAATAGTTTACTTCATTTATACAAATACATTTTGTTTCATGTGTGCGGTTACTAATTATATAGTTAGTAACCAAACCCAACCGATTGTTCCTTTAAATTCATTTTTTATTGTACAAAAAAAACCTATTTTACACATGTTTGCGTTGTTAAAATTATACATTCACAATTATATATAAATTTTATTACTCCCCGATTACGATAATTTATAATATTTTTCACTTATGCTATTATGATGATCAATATATTTATTTACTTTTATTTCGATATGAATAAATAGCATCTCGCACAGAGCGTTTGAAGTATTGTTAGCCAACCGTGAAATACGATAATGTGTATTTAATTACGAAAATAGGATATAGAGAGAGAAGATTCAATGTTTTATTTTTCAATGACATGTAATTTTTTTTATTATTATTTAATCTTATAACCCGATATGTTACACGACTAATCTTATTTATTTTTGTTTTTTGCTTACTCAATAGCGTAGTTAAATATATTATATTTACATTTCAAATATTTTACTCAGAAGAAAATGATTTCTACTTTAAATTACATTTTTTCTTTTTTTATATATAATATGATTTCAAGTATGTAATATTGTTATATCGGGTTTTCACTTGGCGCACGCTAACATTATCATACACAAAGATTCACTTACTTTATCAGTCTGTATCGTACAAAGAGAGAATTAACATTTCATAATGTTGTCCGACGCAATTATGCTTTATATATATATATATATATATATATATATATATATATACATATGGTGGGAACAAATAAATAAACACGGATTGTACTTCAAACTATTTATTTTAATAGTATACAAAACAAAAAAAATCATTGCCCACTCTCATAGCATTCTGAAACAAAAAAATTGTACACTTATCGTATGTTGCAACATTACGAATTTATTGGACTGGAGTTAGAGGTAGAACTGCTCATTAAACATTTGAAAAAGCAACGTTTAGTATATTACAATTACCAAAACAGTTCTACCTCTAATTGTGTTACACCTATGCATCTCATACCTTGCTCCGGCATTTCTACGTCAGGAGGTGGTGGTCCCTCCTGTTGCTGTGGTGCCGATTCCTCCTTTGCTGCTTCGAGAAGGCGTCGCAATTTCGCGACTTCTCGCCTCGCGATTTTCAAACGTTTTTTCATTATTATTTTATTTTTTAACGATTCTAAAATAAAAATAAATATATTGAGCACATGAAAGATAATTGAAGGTTATTTTACCTTTATTTCGGCAGTCCCGCTTAAGGTGATACGCTCGCTGTTGCATATAAAACACCCTGCAAAAATTAAAATTTCATTTCAATGTTACTTTTTAAACGGTACACGTGCATAAATCTATAGTATACTTACGTTTGCTCTTTTGTCGCCCGCTTTCGTCGGGCCGACGAGACGACGGCTGCCCGTAATAATTATTGTTAATAATGAGTTTTATTATTATTTGCTTCATAGTGACTCCGCAAATATTACTAAATGATTTTCCCAATCGCAGGGGAATTCTTTACCACTGCCAGGTCGGACTTTGGACTTGGTTACTTTATAATCTCCGAGAGTCAGTATTTGAACCAATTTCAAACAGATCTGGCCGCCGATTTTTGTTGACTTTTTTGTGGTGCTATTTACTTATTTCGCTGTACTTCCGGACCCAAAGACACTCCCCGGGATTCACGTACGATTTACATCGTACTAAAATCTGTTTAATTTTTTTTTTTTTTTTACTTAAAACGCGAATGCCTAACCACCGCAAATCAATTTTTTTTGCGCACGACCCAAAATTCACGGTAACACGGCCCCTGGAGTTTTTCGTCACGCGCTTAAGTTGGACTTTGAACCGTGCGACTTTCTATCGTCCGTGTTTCGGACCACGATCGGGTTTCGGTCGTTCTATCGATATTATTCGCATCAATGCGCTCGCGTTATGTAATCAACCTGTTGATCACAATTAATTGACACATTGTCATCGTTTCATAGTGATGATCTCGATTTATAAAAATTGATTATATATTAATTATATTATAACCATAAGTTTTATATATAAATATATAGTTTATATATAGTTCATATACAGAATAATAATAATAATTCATATATAATTTATAAATAGTTTTTTTTTTTTTTATATAAAATCATCATACCCGGTTTTTGACCACAGAATTTAATTTTTTTTCTAAACATGGTAAACCGGTGTGTTTTGTGCTTCGCCACCGTCGCCGACGGTGTCAGTTTACACAAGTATGTACACGTTAATTAATTGTTTTCGATTCGACTTCTCCTTCAGTCTGTTGGACATTTGCGTTCGTAGGTATCCGAGGGATGCCCAAAGGGCCGATTCCTGGCTACAGTTTGTCGTGGCTTGCGGCCGTAATCCGTCGGACGTAAACGTACGCAATGCGTTTTTGTGTTACCGGCATTTTCTGCCCAGCGACTACGGTAGCAGTACTGTGCGCAGGGTGCTCAACCGGAACGCCGTAACGTCTGTAAGTAATAATTATAATAGTTAACAGTAATCGCTACAATTGTCTTCGATGATCTTGCTTTTTACTTTAAGGTCAGTATCACGGAGCAACATGATGAGGCCGACGTTATAAATTTGTATAATTAATTTCATTAAGAATCGTAGTAACGGTTACGGAATGTGACGGTATTAATTCGTTCACTTTTTCAAATATTTCTTACAACGCGTATATATGTATGTATACGTTGCAAGTATCGCGTACACAACACGTCAGGTTCCGTATCCGAGTTATCCTGAATTATAACAATAAAAGTTGGCACCGTGTAGATTGAAATTGTTCGCGTGGTGGACATTGATGTTGGTGATGCTGGACCATTCGGAGGAAATGTCGTCGCTGGCGGTGTTGGTGCCAGTGGAAACGATTTGGTTGAACATTATACACATAATAATAATAATAAATTTACTGTATATTATTGTTTTTTTATGTACGCAAACAATTCTGTAGGTTGAAGTGATAGAAGTACCCGTTGGAGCGTCACCCGAAATTGTCAATGTCGGTCTGCTCGATGTGAGCAGTTTTTATTGCGTTGCATTATAATTACATTATACAGGGGGTGGACAAAATAAAATGAACACCATGCAATATAGTTACATATTGTTGCAAGTTGGCTACACTGTATAGTTTTTGGATAACATGGCGTAAAATTAGTATATTATTACAATATAGTAGTTATTTATAACATATTAGTGTAAAACACAGGTTATACTACGAACGTTAAAATAAACTTAAAATAAAATGCGTGAGCTCTCGGACTTCCAAAGAGGGCAAATAGTGGATGCTCGATTAGCGGGAGCGTCTGTAACGGAGACATCTAAACTGTTGAACGTGTCAAGAGGGACAGTGTCCACAGTAATGACAGCATACACGAAATACGGAAAAACATCATCGGCGAAAAGTAATAGTGGGCGAAATCCAAAGTTGACTGACAGGGACCGACGGATTGTGACAAGACAACATAAAACTACCGCGGCTAAAGTTACAGCAGACTTAACGCACATTTGGGTAATACTGAATCTATTCCGCGAAGGATTGAAGCGGTTTTAAAAGCAAATGGAGGCCCAACATCTTATTAATATATAAATGTCAGGTGTTCATATTATTTTGTCCACCCCCTGTATATACATTTTTTTTTTTCTGTAGATTGAAGTGGTCGGGGCTCCCGTCGAACCGTCGCCCGATTTTGTCGACGTCGGATTGGAGGACGTCAGTAAAATTATTAAATCGCTTTTCAATACGATGGACACATAAATTTTTAATTAATTATTATTTTTTTTCCTCTCATTGTGTAGCTTGCCGTCGTCGGAGTTCCAAACGGACCAGCCCTCGACGTCGCTCCGTCCGAAGTGAGTTTAGTTATTTCGAACATTACAATAAATAGTATATTAAATATAGCATTCGGCTTTAATAAAACGGAATCTGTTGTACAGCGTGGCGTGCATTATATTATAATACGGTGTACATCTTTTTATTTTTTTTTTTTTTTAATTACAAACATTCATTTATCGACAGTACCGTAGGTCGTCGCGACTGTTGTGTTGCCTATTTAGTGTGGAACGGCGTATCCATTACTCCAGTATATGTCTTCTACTTATTTTGTATCAATCGCATATAACGATGATAATAATAATAAGTAAATAAATAGGACAGTACACCGCGCGTACGGACTTCATCGGATTTTAAACTAAACGTTTATCCAATGCGCAATAGTAACAAGTCGTGTTCTTAGCGTTTTTCTACAACGGCAAAAATATGCACATTCAATACTATTACAACGCCGCGACTTTTCGTTCCATGTATCATTAACTGGTAAATTAAAATTTTCCACATCGATTCGTTATAATCGTAACATTAATTTACATGTTCATTACAAATATTTTTTCATTGTTATAGCCGATGTTTCTTCAATAGTGTTTGATCCCCGTATATAAATTCATAAAATGTTTATTAAAGCGTGTATTCACGTTGAGATAAAAAACAAAGTATGAATCAACTCGATGCAAATCACTACAGTGTACGACATGCTTATTTCATTTATTATTAAATTGCTTTTATTTATTATAAATATTTCATTTTATACGATAATAATTATTTGACAATATCTATTCAAAGTACACGGGACGGTTTTGTTTCGTTTTTTCTTTTATAGCTCGCGTAATAACGGCAAGAGCGATGAATTTAATTATTAATCGTTCGTTGTGTTTACAGGACAATCTGATGGAAAATTACTTCAGACGACTCGCAGACCGCGACAGATCCGAATCCATGTGTTTGGCCGCCGTGGAACGTCACCTGGCCGCTTCGAACAAGACGCTCGCGGGTTACTGTTTACCCGAGCCCGATAGCGCTATGTTAGTACCGGACGCCGCGCCAGCCGACAACGCGACGGCGGCAGCAGATGTCGCCGAGTTGGTCAGTCGACTGAATGAACAACAGCGGACGATATACGTTGAACAACGTCCGCGATTACGCTAAACATATTGTTTTGTGTGTTACAAATGACGAGTGCAAGAACATCAACGATCAGGTGCTCCACAGTCGAGTGACGGGGTCGCAGAGGGTGTACACCGCCACCGACACCGTCGTAGCCGACGACGACGACGAGGCGGCCAATTTTCCCGTAGAGTTTCTCAACACTCTGGAAGTGGACAACTTGCCGCCGTACAGGTTGACTCTGAAGGTGGGCGCGATCGTCATGTTGCTGAAGAACCTGGACACGGCCAGACGGCTGTGCAACGGCACCAGACTGGTAATTACTGAGCTCAGGCAACATAATTTTAAAGCTAAACTGTTGACAGATCTCGACGCCGAGGAGATAGTCGTTCCGATCGTTCAGACGAGGACGTCCGGGGACGGCGACATTCCACGTCGCATGTGTCGTTACCAGTTCCCCGTGGGCTCTGCTACGCCATGACAGTCAACAAGTCGCAGGGCCAGACGTTCGATCGTGTCGGCCTGTCGTTGACGGTACAGCCGTTCGCCCACGGACAGCTGTACGTGGTCTTTTCGAGAGTGCGCAACCAAAATTCCATCAGGGTGTAGACTTTGTCGGCCGTGGACGGGCCGTGCGTTGTGAAAAACGTCGTGTACAGGGAAGTATGAAAGGTTACAAATATATAAAAATCAAATTAATTGGCCGCAACGAAAAATTTGTAACTTTCATGGCGTTTTACAAAATTATAAGAAGAGGGTCGCCAACCTACTGGGCGAGACAGTGTATTGTCGGACCACAGTAGGATTTTAAAAAAATTAACTATTGTATATTAAAACAATTAGAAACAAATATATAATTAATAAATATCAAAGTTGATGTCCGTTGAGTCGTTGATAGTAGATGTACACCAAAACCTCGTGACAGTTGTCACATAACCATATAGATCAGGGATGACCTTATACAAGGCCGTTGCCCGTACCTTATAAACTAGGGGAATTGATTTTTGAAAGAAAAAAAAATACACGAGTCCATTGAAGATGGAACACGCAAAAAAGAAGAAACAGATGATGGTTAAGTTAAATTAAGGGGATTTTTTTAAAAAAAAAACAAAAAAAAATTAAGTTAACACGAGGCAAAAAACCGAATGGTCAAAAAACCTCGTCTACAAATTAAAGGGGAACAAAGAAAGAGAGAAAAAAAAAAAATAGATATTAATAAAAAAAATAGTTACACCTACACTTTTATCATTAGAGAATACGATGAACGTCTTCGGGTACCCGCCGGCTATTAATCGCAGCATTGCCGCTAAGCACGGCGGGGATACGTCCCAAGTAAGCGACTGGTTTCTGGCAGTTAGGCTTAGCTTGCAAGACGTTGGGACACCCCGGAATAAAATGCACTACGTCACCACATTGTACCAATAATATATACATCACCCAATAAAATATGATATAAAACCTATAAAAAGTCACAAAAAAAATATATATAACATGACAGGTGGTCTTGTACACGCCTGTCATGTTGCGGGACCTAAATAAAAAAAAATATAAGGACACAAAAAAAAAAACTATATAAAAAAATATAAAAAAATTCGCCACACGTGCTTATGGCACGGCGCACTAAAAAATAACTGGCTCAAAACATTATATACAAAACTATACATTACCAGCCCCGAAGGGCTAACGAATATGGAGGCAGGTTTAGCCGACGCCAATATAAATAATAATTACATTAAAAAAAAAATAACGGACACTCACGAAAATATATATATAAAAAAATGAAAAAGTTGCAGCGCACACAACAACAAAAATTACGATCGCTACGGACGGGAAATAGTACGACCATTTCCGACTATGGCTATTCCCCGACAATCCGTCCGACGATTGACCCGGCGGTCCGTTGGCGACCAAACGGCTAGCCTTTAGAGTAGGGGTCAAAAAATAACTAAATACCCAGTGCCGGAAATTATTAAAAACAATTTAAATCATATGGCGACAATGTATGCGGTGAGCAGTGCAAATGACGTTCAAGATAGGAAAGGAGCGGGGTGAATGTACACACAAATGCCGTTCATGAACCGGTCCGAAGTAGTACACAGCTGACTATCTCGCGCGCGCATAAACAAATCACAACACCTTATCATGATAATTTTATCAACAAATGCCGTCGCAGTCCGCATTCGGCTCAACACAAATATATATATACAAATAGACAAAAAAAAACAACCAGATACTTTTGTCACGTTACAAGTATTAGAATGATTTTGACATAAATCATGTTTGATGGCGACATTGAACACGATCCCGCGGTACAGCGGGTAATCAAGTGTTTTGAACGGATTAAGCGGTGTAATCCGGGCAAAATGCTCGATTTTGACGGGCGTGACTTGAGCGTTTATGCGAATATTCTGCCTGTGTCCCTGTCTACTCGGTAGCCGGTCTTCGGATCGCAATCGTTCGCGTTGGATAGCGAAAAATCGGGTTTGTTGAACGGATTACCTGGTCTAGTCCGGGCAAGAAGCTCGATTGCTGCTGGCACGGGTTGTTTCGGTGTGCCAGCTGCGGCGGGCGTGATTTGAGCGTTTATGCGAATATTCTGCGTGTGTCCCTCGAAACGGCTATTTTCCCGTGCTGTGCATTTGCCATTTGAACCCCAAATGTCATGTGTACGGGCGGGGAAATTTCCGTTTTGTGCGAAGAGATTGTATGACAACCTTCACGTGGTTCTCTCTGAATGAAAATCCGTTAAATGTTCGTGGCATTAAATAAAATATCACAATAATAGCAATATACATTTTTAAAATATTTGCATTACAAGTCGATATGACAGTCACTTTTTGCCATGCGGAATAGTAACTAATGTCATGCGTTATAATTAAAATTTTATTATTAGATAATATTTGGGCTATAAGGGTTGAATATATGGTTTATTATCGTTGGGGGTGAGTTTATGATTTTTTAACCAATGAAATCTGGTGTTGATAATATCATATCAACTCCCTCCCTCGATAAAAATCATATTTAAGTAATTTGCAGTAATATTATTTTAGTTTAAACGCAGTTTTTGTACGTGTCGTGTAAAAGTCAAGTTTTTCAACAAATAAGTTTCAAACATTTTATCTAATTGTTTTTTTGAAGAATTCAATAGGAATAAGTAAGTAAAACTAATTTTTCTCATTTTTTTTTTTGTATTGCTTGAATCTTATATTTTAATTTAACGATAAGTATAGTTAATATTTAAACTAATGATTTGTTTTTTTTTTCTAGAAAAAATGTCTGTACTGAATAAAATTAAATCACTCTCTCACAATGAATATGTATCAATGGCTTCACTGACACTAAATAAAGAGTATCGGGTAACTACTTTGAGATCTATGGAAACCAAGTACGGTCGAACATTAATAGCGAGATTAGAAAACGATAGACAGCTATGTTTGCCTAAAATAATTTCACTCACAGACGCTGAAATAAATGAATACAATGAATTTATGGAAAAATTATCTCTAATTTATTACGGAAAACGTAGCAATGCATTAAATTTTTCATTTCAATAATAACAATTTAAATATTCTTAAAATTGATTTAAAAATGTATTTTTATTTATATACTTTGAATTTATCATGTTTTGCTTTATATAAAAATTTACTTTTACTTTTATTCATAGTTTAAAATAAACTTTTATGTATAAAAAACGGTAGCACAGTGGGGTCACGGCATAGTGGAGACATTGCATAGTTGGGTTCAGTATAGATTTAATCTGACATTGATTAAAATCACTATCATAAGAAACGCTTCGATGCAAATCTGTAGATAGTGTTTATCTACAGTTTAAATTTATTTGCATATTATAATATATTTATTTGTTTGATTAACAATAGGTTTCTTTTCCAGAACTTAAACGAATTAACACAAATGACTCGGAGGACGTTGGTACACGACGAACGTTTCGACAAAATAATATCATCTTATGCGGGACTGACATGAAATTCCTGGAAATTATCATACATGGCAACTTACTTTCTACGCTTCATTAGAAATTATTATCGACCATTTGTGATACATATTTTTATATTGTTTAATATACGCATACATATCTATTATATATTTTTTTTTATTAAAGAGTTCAAATGTAATATAATATTTTATGGCAAACAATTGAACAAATCATTAGCGACAGTATTAATCGATTCGATTTTATAGTTTTTAGACGGCGTTTGTTGCGTCCCGAAGTGGTATGCTTCCATAACTACGCCGAAACAATAACGTCGCTGACAAATCTACTAAAAAGGGGGACGAAATGGTTGTGGACGGAAGACCATCAAAGGGCTTTTGAACAGGAAAAAAAGGCCCTGTGTGAGTCCCCACGACTGAGTCCTCCTGACTACGCGAAAACTTTCTGCCTTCAAACCGATACGAGTGAAATGGGCGTGGGAGCAATATTCTTTCAACACGAAGATGAACCGGGAGAGAGAAGAATCATATCCTACGCCAGTAAGAAACTTTCAGAAACGCAGAAACGTTACGCCGTCGTAGAACGAGAATGCTTAGCAATTATATGGGCGACTGATAAATTTCGCCCGTATTTAGAGTATTCTCCGTTTGAATTATTTACGGATAATTCCGCGTTGACTTGGCTACACAGAGCAAAGGACAACAATTCAAAATTAACTAGGTGGGCGCTACATCTAGGTAATTTAAATTTTACAACGACACATGTACCCGGGAAACACAACGAAGGACCGGACATGTTGTCACGTTATCCGAGCGCGCGGCCCCCTGTTGACGAAGAGTTACTCGACGACAGTCTGGTGGGCGCACCGACAACGAGAGCGTTGGATAATGCGCGGGCCACTCTTGACAATGTTATTGCCATAACCGAAACAAACGACGCGTCAGATAATCGGCCGTTTACGGGGGGGAAATACAAGAGTGGCAAAACGACGATCCGTTTCTTTCATCCGTCATGAAACAATTACTCAAGAGGAACTCCAGAAAAAACGATAAGGAGTCCAGCAAGAACAACAACGAATATTTCATGTTAAACGGACTAATACGCATTCGTATGGGCGTAGACATACCGGCCGTAATACCAGTAGCCAAATCACAGCGTGTGATTTGGCGATACCACGACGATGCGCTGGCGTGTCACCCAGGATGGAAAGAAACCTACCGAGCGATCAAACAACGCTTCTATTGGAAGGGCCTGAAAAATATAGTACGCGAGTACGTAAAATCGTGTGATGTTTGCGCGTGTACAAAGGCCCTAAATAGGCGTCCGAATGATCCTCTAACTTCGCGCAAACCAAGACAACCGTGGGAGGTCATTAGTATCGACTTAATGGGTGAGTACCCCAGAACATCAAGGGGAAAAACGAACCTGTTAGTAGCAACTGACTGTTTCAGTCGCTGGACCGAAGCGTACCCGATAGGCGCAGCGACTACAAAAACGATTGTAGACACGCTCGAACGCGAATTTTTCTCACGTTTTGGGTACCCCCGCGTATTGCTTTGCGACAACGGACGGAATCTGGTTTCTAACGAAATGATTAACGCGATAAATAGATGGGGGGCGGAAGCCTGGACCACACCTATTTATCATCCGCGCGCAAATCCGGTAGAACGAAAAAATCAGGAAANGCGTATTGTGACATCAGTTTTTGAAATTGTTTATTGTAAAATTCTTTACCATTGTCCGTTTGCAAAAGCTTAGGATGACGACCATGTTTCAGTATTCCGTTCATGGCTGCGGTAACTTCGTTGGCCGTTTTATTTTTCAACGGGATGGCCCACGCGTATTTTGAAAATCCATCGACGCACGTTAAAATATACCGATGTCGTCGATCAGGGTATGCGCGCATTTCCACGAGGTCAGCGTGCCATATATCATCGAGACCCTTGATATTTATCCGGGCACGGGTATACGTCCTGCGAGCCTGCCGGTGTAGTTCGTTAGCAATGTTCTTATTCATAACGCCGCTGGTATCTGTTCAATGTAACCGGCTTCCTGCAGCTCTTCCAATATAGAAACGATTTCCGGTGAAACTCCAGTGTTGCCAGCCGACCGGGCTGATATGAATAAAAGTATACGTTCCACGAGCTCGTTGGGGTCGTCCCAGTAAACTTAATCTTTTTTCTTGTTGTTCAATCTCAATTGTAGACCCGCACCGATAATGGATGTGTCACTGATGTTGCTGCTGCTGCTT